TATCGTGGTTGAGTGAACTGTTGCCGGGCTTTGGTGATTAGAATCCCCCACCTAGTTTGTAATCCTGCCGGTCAAGATCAGTGGCTTATTCATAACTGCGTAGTTTGCTATTGGGCATTCTTCATTATCTGGTATCTCAGAAGGAGTGTTACCGGTGCCTAGGTTCCATACCATGGATTTTGGCGCGATTTTACTACAGTTAGGTTTCCTGTGTAGGCTCCACGCCGTAAGGGACGTCATATTTGTATATTAGTGTGTGCACTTGTGAATACCCGCACGTATCCTGTCACTCATGATGTTTATGCCGCTGGCCGAATTTATCTCAGGGTCACTGCATGTCAGTATTTACCAAAAGTCGTGGGAATACAGTCAAGATAAAGACGCGTTATAGGGCCTAGGAGACATGCGTTGCGGGGACGAGCTACGCTGCAACGGTACCGCCGTTGCACAGTGTTTTTGATCAAGGCCAGTTAGACTCTCGGCCGTCAAGTTCTGTTTTTCAAGTGACAAATTTGCTGCACCGTACGATCAGCTTTCCCCCTTCCACTAGACTGGTCTCGACCGTGCGAAGGGACATAAACGTACCTAGTAGTCCGCCGGTCGTCATCGGTGGTGACCGCCATCAGTTTTTGTAGTTTGAGCGACTGGATGGGAACTGTTTACCGAGTGTTTCATCGCTTCTGAACACGTGCCGAGACTAGCCTTGTTTTTAAAACAGCCGTTGATAGCAGAATTTATCGGAACCCATCAATTTCTGCATAACACAGATAACGAATGAGAAACGAACGGCAACTAGAATCAGTACAGAAAATCAATAAATAAGTGCAGGGTCATCGTTAACTGCGTAGACGATAATCAATGAAAATGATAACTTAAAAACGAAAGGAAAGGGAGAGGAGAAAATTTTAAAAGACAAAGGTTGGCAAGTAAATTTAGGGTCTGAGGGTCACCAGGGCACTTTGGAGTTGAGCACGTGGGTCGGAGTTCGCCAGCCGTATATAGGCTGCTTTCAAGTGTTAGGACGGCCTACCGAACAGCCTTAGCAAGCAGTAGCTTGCAAGCGATAGCCCATACACAGTACGTTATTGATCGGCCTACACGCGAGCGAACGCATCCTGCAGTCAATCAATCGATAACTTGAAATTCAAACTACAGTCAGCCGTTGTGTCACCAGCAAATCCTACCGGCGACTATTTCAGAAGGGGAGCTGATTGGCTCAATGGACATCGTGTTACACGGTTTATTGCCCTAAATACGTTGTACCTATTACTCTCAAAGACTTCTGCTGTTGCACACTTC